CTCCCTCCAGGGTCAATGCTGAGGAGGAGATGGAAACAGCTAATGACAGTGTCGGTGGGGGTTTCATCTTGGTGGGCTTCTCCCAGAGGCCCAAGTTGGAGTTGGCCCTCTCTCTCTTTGTCGTGATGTTCTACAGCGTAACCCTGGTGGGTAACGTGGCCATCATCTCGCTCTCCATCCTGGATGCTCGTCTCCACACGCCCATGTACTTCTTTCTCAGAAACCTCTCTGTGCTTGACCTCTGCTTCACCACCAGCATTGTGCCCCAGATGCTGGTAAACATGTGGGGAGGCAACAAGCAAATCAGCTATGCCGGCTGCATGGTCCAGTACTGGGTGGCCTTGGCACTTGGTTCCACCGAGTGTGTGCTCCTGGCGGTGATGGCGGTGGACCGCTACGTTGCCGTTTGCTGGCCTCTGCGCTATGCCTCTATCATGCACCCCAGGCTGTGTCACCTCCTGGCGGCAGCGTCCTGGTCCTCTGGCTTTGCCAACTCCTTCCTACAGTCCTCAATGGCCATGGTGCTGCCTCGGTGTGGAAACCGGCATGTGGACCACTTCTTCTGTGAGCTGCTGATCATTGTTAAACTCTCCTGTGTGGATACTGGCCCAACAGAGTCCAAAATGTTTATCGCCCGGCTGATCATCCTAGGCATGCCTGTCTCTATCATCCTGACCTCCTATGCGTGCATTGCCAGGGCAGTAGTGAAAATGCGCTCAGCAGAAGGAAGGAAAAAGGCTTTTGGGACTTGCGCCTCCCATCTGATAGTGGTCTCACTCTTCTATGGGACCATAATGTTTTTGTATCTGCAGCCAAAGGACAACTACTCCCAGGACCAGAGCAAAGCACTTGCGGTGCTCTACATGATCCTCGCGCCCACCCTCAACCCCCTGATCTACACGCTGAGGAACAAGGACGTGAAAAAAGCAGTCAGGAAGGTGATGGGGAAGGAGCAGGTGTAGGGAGATGGAAGGCTGGAAGGGGAGGTGAGGCAATCATAGGACACAGAACTGGGTGTGCTTGTTTTAACTGCACTGCTTTCACTTTTCCAGGGGATGGGGCAGGATATCTGCTGTGTCCTATCCTCTCGCTATTCCTGGGACCCTTTCTGGGTGGGGACTCAGCAAAAGGAAACAACCATCCCTTACAGACACCTCTGGTCAAGGAGTTTCTCACTGGCAAGTAATTCTGTATCCCACTGCTAGTGCCCTTCTAGTCTCAATGAACAGTTATTGACATATTCAAATGCCTCCAAATATGCTTCTGGATGTTAGAATAACACTGATGACAATCTTACTACATTTATGAAGGAGCTTATGGCTGTAACTGCTCCTTCATCATCTCCATCACCATTCTCAGCTCACCACTGTTGAAGCAGTCAGGCATAGTGAGCTACAGGGGATTTAGTCAGTAATGAACAATGGAATGCTTTTCCATTGTGGATGAACATGTGCAAAACAAGAACAACCAGTTAAAAATAATGAATACACAGAGACTAGACACTATATTAAGGATTCTGTTTTTTAGAACTAAAAAGAATTCCATGACCATTCAGGACAAGGCTATAGAATATGTCAAATTTAATGTAGTTTATAACATAATTCTATAGGAAATATTTGAATAATAAAAATACACATGATTGATTTTGGGGAATGTAAGACAGTTTATAAATTTCAAGATTACAAAAATGATTACTGAATAAAGATAACTGTGAGTTAAATATAGAAAAATGTAACTCAACTCAGTGAGCCTACAGAGCTCTCCACCTACTTCCATAGAAGGAGAGTAGAATATCAAAAATCACTATTTTGATTAGGCTGTGGATGTCATGCTGTTATGCCCAATTATGATGGACTGGAAGCCATACTTTTGTCCTCAAATTGCTCATTCATATGCTTATAAATAAGCCTAACTCTCTGTGAATACTCAGTAAATGTGGATTGAATTAATGAATAGATACAGCAAGATGTTCATGTAAGATGGCAGCACATGGGTTGGAATACCTCAGAAACATCTTTGTGGTATCACATGCAACATTTCACATAGGATGGACATTTTGTATTGGCAAGTGACTGACAAGTGTAGATTGAAAAAATAAAATTATCATATATATGATTGGCTGCAGCCATCTATATTGAACTAGACCATTATAACCATACTGAAACACAACAGGCAGGGATTAGTTCAAACGTAAAGCATTGCTTAAAAGGAGAAAAAGAAATAACCATGCTGGGTTTTTTAAAATCAGCTTTTTAATTAAAGCAGTGGTTCTCAACAAGGGACAAGGGACAATTTTGTTCCACTCCTCACCCCAGCAGGGGACATTTGGTAATTGCTGGAGACATTTTTCTTATCATACCCTGAGAGGGAGGTGATACAGACATTTGATAGGTAGAGGCCAGAAATGCTAACCGATATTGTGCAACACACAGGATAATCCCTACAACAAAGAATTATCTGGCCCAAAATGTCAACAGTACTGAGCTTGAGAAATCCTGAACTGGAGAAATAAATATTATGGATCCTCTGATCAAAGATATAACATTTACAAAGGCAGCCTATTCATGACAGTAGGGTAAGCTGATGACATCTGAATTTTCTTTTTTTTTATTTTAGCACATTATGGGGGTACAAATGTTAAGGTTAAGTATATTGCCCATGACCCCCCTCCCCCTTTGAGTCAGAGCTTCAAGCGTGACCATCCCCCAAATATTGCACATCTCACTCATTATGTTTGTATACACCCATCCCCTCCTCCCCACTCCCATCTGCCCAACACCCAATAAATGTTATTCCTATATGTCCACTTAGGTGTTGATCCATTAATACCAATTTGCTGATGAGTACATGTGGCGCTTGCTTTTCCATTCTTGAGATACTTCACTTAGTAGACTGGGTTCCACTCTACCCAGGATAATATAAGAGATGCTGTTTCACCATTGTTTCTTAAAGCTGAATAGTACTCCATGGTATATATATACCACATTTTATTAATCCACTCGTGAACTGATGGGCACTTGGGTTGTTTCCACAACTTTGCAATTGTGAATTGTGCTGCTGTAAACATTCAAGTGTAGGTGTCTTTTTGATAAAGTGACTTTTTATCTTTTGGGTAGATGCCCAGTAGTGGGATTGCTGAATCAAATGGTAGATCTACTTGTATCGCTTTAAGGCATCTCTGTATTGCTTTCCACAGAGTTTGAACTAGTATGCAGTCCCACCAGCAGCGTAGGAGTGTTCCTATCTCTCCACATCCACACCAACATTTATTGTTTGGGGACTTTTTGATAAAGGCCATTCTCACTGGAGTTAAGTGATATCTCATTGTGGTTTTGATTTGCATTTCGCTGATGATTAGAGATATTGAGCATTTTTGCATATGTTTGTTAGCCATCATTCTATCTTCTTTTGAGAAGTTTCTGTTCATGTCCTTTGCCCATTTTTTGCTAGGGTTGTCTAATTTTTTGCTTGCTGATTTTCCTGAGTTCTAAATAGATTCTAGTTATCAGCCCTTTATCAGATGTGTAGCTTGCGAAAATTTTCTCCCATTCTGTGGGTTGTCTGCTCTGACAGTTTCTTTGGCTGTGCAAAAGCTTTTTAATTTGATCAGGTCATATTTATTTATAACTCTTTGCTGATGACATGATGTTATACATAGAAAACCCCAAGGATTCAACAAAGAGGCTCCTTGATCTGATAAATGAATTTGATAAAGTCTCAGGATACAAAATCAATACAAAGAAATCAGAGGCATTCATATACGCCAACAACAGTAAAAGTGAGAACCAAATCAAAGACTCAATTCCCTTCAAAATAGCAACAAAGAAAATTAAGTACCTAGGAATATATTTAACTAAGGAGGTAAAAGACCTCTACAGGGATAACTATGAAACACTGAAGAAGAAAATAGCAGAGGATGTAAACAGGTGGAAGAATATACCATGCTCATGGGTCGACAGAATCAACATTGTTAAAATAAATGTCTATACTACCCAAAGTGACTTACAGAGTCAAGGCAATCCCTATTAAAATACCATCATCATTTTTCACAGATATATAAAAAATAGTTTTACGCTTCACATGGAACCAGAGAAGATCCCATATAGCAAAATCAATCCTAGGTAATAAAAACAAAATAGGAGGTATCAATTTACCAGACTTCAAACTATACTACAAGGCTATAGTCATTAAAAAAGCTTGTGATTGGCACAAGAACAGGAACATTGGCCAGTGGAACAGAACAGAGAACCCAGATATAAAACCATCCTCATATAGCCAACTAATCTTCGACAAAGCAGATGAAAACATACACTGGGGAAAAGAATCCTTATTCAATAAATGGTGCTGGGAAAACTAGATAGCCACATGTAGAAGACTGAAACAAGATCCACACCTTTCACCTCTCACAAAAATCAACTCATGCTTGGTAACAGACGAACATTAGGTGTGAAACTATTAGAATTCTGGAAGAAAATGTTGGAAATACTCTTCTAGATATTGGCCTAGGCAAAGAATTTATGAAGAAGACCCCAAAGGCAATCACAGAAGCAACATCTGAATTTTCATGAGGTCAGGGAGCACTCTGTTGTTAGACTGGGTCTGGTTTCTAACTAGAAAAATAAAAACAACTTTAACTATTTACAATAGAGACCATTTAATGCAGGAAATAGTCAATATATGTGATGAAAGGGCTGAGAATCCAAACAGGGATATATAGGAATCTCCAAGATTTAGCAGCAGGCTGAAGCCACTAACATCCCTAGACTTGACTGATAAAAGGAAAAGGTAGTGTTATTGGAACCCACTGGGTAGGATCACCTGGAAGAAACACAACCAGCATGGCAGGCCAGTCCAACACGACTTGGAGCTGCAGAAAGGACACAGCTCCTGCCCCAGGTGCCACTGGAAGCAGAGTAGGAGGGAGTGGCAGCTTGCCTTATCCCTTGATTCTGTCCTGTAATCTTCAGTGGATCTGGAAGCCAAGGAAATGCAGCCTGCAGTGTCATCAGCACCTCCCATCCCCCACCCCCACCCCACTGAAAATCTGAGCCCATTGGGGAGGGCAGACAAATAGGCTCCAGGTGGCACCTTTTATTCCTAATTCACTCTGCATCCCTTCTCTATGAATTTGTATCTTTCATACAAAGTTCAGGCTTTCACCTTACATGAGACAACACTCACCTCTCTCCAGCAAGGGGGCTACAAGTCCTGCCAGTCATGTGTTCATTTCAAGTCTATGAACTCCAGGTAATGCACTGTTTTCATCTAGTGTAAGAGTAATTTCTGAGTCTGATGGCCTATGAGAGAAATTGAAAATAATGGGTTAATATATGCATAAAAATATTCATAACAGTCATAGTGTTCATTTCTGTAATGGATCATGAGGCCACTGTTGGTGTTGATTTCAATCACATCATTTTTCTGTGACCCAGTTCGTGTTACCTTTTCTTTCAACCACTATCTGGTGAGAGAAACCAAATTTTCACTTCTAGGAGATATGAGGCAGTCACTAAGGTGACACCATCTTTGTTGGATGTCATAGTTTTCCAATGATGTCAACTAGCAAACATGGCAGTACTCCATGTTTGTACTCCATGGCAATTACTCCATAATTACTCCAAAGAATTCTACTGGTTCCAAATATAAGTCTTCCTTGTCTCCATTGTTTAGCAACAAGCCTATTTCCTTTGATAATTGGGATTATTCATGCCAGATGAGAAATTAATACTCTTAATTAATTATCAGTTCAGTAGCATCATAGCAAGAGAAGCCCACCAGATGAAGTTCATAAGCATTGTTGTGTCCTGTGGTTGACCCCTTGTTTTGGGAACTAAGACCTTAAAAGCAGCAGAGTCCAAGGATGAGAAGAAAAACATGAGTGGGTTACTGGGTTCACACCCACTTCTACACCTTCATTTCTTTTCTGCATCCATGTATTCTGGATTTGGGGAAAAATTACACCAGATATACAAAGCATACACTGCATGCTACACAATATTCCAACCCCATATGATATTGTCTCCAAGCTGTGAGATGGCTTACTTTTCAGTAGGTCATCCAAATAGTCTATCAGGCCACTAGCTCCTAGGCATTGTGGTTCATGTTCAAAAGCAAAAGCAATACCTTTTATGAACATGGACTTTATTGCTACATTTTTCTTATGTTGAAATTAGTTTCTTGGTTGGGAGATTGTTATATTGGATACCTTAATGGTGAATGAGGCATCTCAGAAGTCCATATATGATAGTGATGAAACATGGCAGATGGGGAGGCAAACCCATATTAGAAAAAGCTTTATTACAGTGACAATAATTTTATTTCCCCTCTATGACAGAAGGGACCCAATGTCATAAACCTGCCCCCAGGAAGCTAGCTAGTCTCCCCAGAGAATGATGGATAGAAAGGGCTCCATATTGGCTTTTAGTTTTGGCAGTTTAGACACTCAGTCCTAGTAGTAGGCAGATTAGCTTCATGAGAAATAGTCCATGCCATTGAGCTTATGCATAGCCTCCATTCCTGGCACCATTGCCAGTTATACACAGGCCCCTGTGTAATCTCTAGAGTAGCTAAGGAAGAAGGGTGATGGACATCCATAAGATGGGGTTTCTTTTTGTTTATGTAAGTATTAAGAACTTAAAGTAGGTGACCTTTAGTGATTATTTACATGCCCACAGATATTCTCACCTTGTGTGTTCATTCTGAGAGATCCGTCGATATATGCTTTCCCCAGACCTTTACAAGTCTCTGAACAACTGGAAAAACCATTAGCTACTTCCTATAAATCATTGTATAGCCATACATCCAGCCATGTCTCCTCTCACCCAAAGCTACATTCAGATATACTGATCAAAGTTCTCAGATTATAGTGTGGCTCACTTTCAGCAGGTGCCAGCATTTCATGCAGACCCATTCATAAACCAAGCTGACATTGTTCCATTCTTCATCATCTGCTCTTAGGTAATTCTTTTTGTTTTTATAACCATATAACAGACTCTTATTTATTATATGACATATAAGAAATTCTTATTTGTATTCAAATGCTATTTGATATATACATCTATATAAAATTACTTAAAAAAGATAACACATAAATCACATATTCTTATTTTAAAACATGAAATATGCATTGTATTATCTCTAAAGGACAATGCTGAAGCGGTGGATGGCAGCATTGTTGCATATTTTATTATTTGTTATAAAGCAATTGCTCGTCTTTGTTCTTCACCCAACAGCCTTCATTACTTTCTACAGTTTTATAAACCAATATCTGAAGATCTTGAAACGTTAATTTGAAGATTTTTTATTTTAGGATATTATGGAGGTACAAACATTTTGTTTACATGTTATGACTTTGCCACACCCAAACCATGATTTGAGGCATGTCCTTCCCCTCTACAACACCGTGTCCATTAGGTAATTCTTTATATGCCTTAGGGGCATCTTGCAGAAAGTAAAGCAATGCAGCAGGAGTAAGTACTGTGAGAGCCTACACCTCACACTTATGCAAATTATTTGTGAATCTGTGCTTGCTGGAGTTTAATCTTATACATCTCATCTCCAGTTCATAAGGAACTGCTGCTGCTGCTCCCACCCAACTTGATAAGACAGTACTGAGCTTATGATAGGCATCTCAGGTGACATAATCAGGGGGCCATTAGCAGTCGGGGATTTGTTTTTTCAAAAGGAAAATATTTATCAGCATATGGGGCTGTGACATTGCACTACACCCTTGGATTCTTTGTATGAATTATTTATTGGAGCTTTTTAAAAAGTCTATTCAGGATCCCCGAGACATTACTGAATTGAATCTGTTGATTCTTAAGTACCAAGTGGCAGATTGGCTTTCACTTCAGCCTGAACTTGCTGTGTCAGGCAAACGTGATGACCATTACATCACAGAAACTGCTTGGAATTGCTATGGAGCATTCGGTTTCTCTAGTTTCTCAACAATGGGTGAGGGTGAGTTATCCCAGGGAGAAGGTTCAGATTATAGCAAGAGGAATAAAGAACATAGGAATGAATCCTGAGGAACTCCAGCATTTGGGGCAGCCAGATAGAGGGAAATAAAGTGAGAGGGAAGGCAAGTGCAGGTGTACTATAGGAGAAAAACTGGGAAAGTTTGGTGTCATTGAAGGCAAGGTTCATAATAGGATGGTAGCAGTAGAGGTGGAGAGAAGTAGATAATTTGAGATTATTTAGATGGTAGAATAAATAGGTCTTAGTAGTTAATTAGATAGGAGGCTGAGGGAGAGGGAGAGGGAGATGTTAAGGATGTCTCTTAAGGCTTTGATTGAGGACTAGTGCCAATAATTATAAAAGTATATTGTTTGGCAGACTCACAAATATATAATATATGTTATTGCCAAAGAAAGAGGGAGAAAATGAAGCTATAATAGAACGAAATATTTGGGTTTTAGTATAATTAACTTTGTATTAATCTGAAGCATATTGTGATAAATGAATGGGCATATTGTAATCCCTAGAGCAACAACAAATACAATAACTAAAACATATATGTAAATAATGATACAATAAAAGATATCTATTCCACACACACAAAAAAAACCCAAAAAGGCAGCCGGGCACGGTGGTTCACGCCTGTAATCCTAGCACTCTGGGACACCGAGGTGGGAGGATTGCTTGAGGACTGGAGTTCGAGACCAACCTGAACAAGAGGGAGACCCATCTCTACTAAAAATAGAAAGAAATTAGCTGGACAGCTAAAAATATATTTTAAAAATTAGCCAGGCATGGTGGCGTGCCTGTAGTCCCAGCTACTTGGGAGGCTGAGGCAGGAGGATTGCTTGAGCCCAGGAGTCTGAGGTTGCTGTGAGCTAGGCTGATGCCATGGCACTCACTCTAGCCTGGACAACAAAGCGAGACTCTGTCTCAATAAAATAAAATAAAATAAAATAAAATGATCAATGTGGCAATGAAGAAATCACAAGGGAAAAATCGTATCAATGAAAATCACACCACAACATACCAAAACTTATGGGATGCATCTAAAACAGTGCTCAGAGGGAACTTTAGAATTATAAATGCCTATTTTTTTAAAGAGAGAATTACATCATAAAAATAGTGTATTAAGCAACTCTAAGCTATCATTCCTCTATAGAATTATAGAAAAACAAGCAGTAACTGTGAGGTCGATTTTGTCAGGACTCTGGAAAATAGTCAACTATGTACAGCAAATGCTAAAACAAGAAAAAAGAATCTTGAAAATACTAGGAAAATGTTGTAATATTTTTACTTGCCCTTGACCCACTCCCACACTTTCTAGCAGCAATCTTGAATTGGTGGTAGTCTGTGTTCACAGTGTGGCACTTTAGTCCGTGGTCCCAGAGGGAGCAGAGCACATCCAATTCACAAATCACTGGGTATGTCTGTTGTAACAATTTTGGGGGTTACCTGAAGGGGTGATGCAAGGTGTTCACCTTTGTTTTTTCTAACTTGGAACTCAGCCTGAAAAGCAGTGGGCATTGCAAAAACACTACAAAGCAAACTAAAAACCTATAGGTCCTTGGGACAAAAGATTGTGTTTCAAACATAGAATTATACTGCCTAATCCCCAAGAAAAAATTCTGTGAAAGATTCGCTGGTCAATGAGGACATTCAAAAGCATTCATGTGTACAGGGAAATTTAGAAAGTCACACACATGCCAGGCAATATACATTATCATAAAAGACCAGAGAAGACCCTACATTTTTTCCTCAGGCTGATCCCTAGTTTCAGTGCAAACCTGGCTAAGTGTTCTATCCCAGAGTTAACCTGAAAAGAATGAAAAAGTATTTTCTCTGATTTCTTTATATATTTGCTCAAGACATACAAGAAAATTTCTATCAAAACCCTAGCTAAACATGAGCTAAAGGAAGAGAGACTTCAACAATCACACCCTAAGAGGAATACAGGGTTGTTTTGTTTTTTTTTAAATAGTGTGGGGAAAAGATCTAAACAAATAAACTATTATAGTCTTCAAAAACAAAACAGCAAAATCAGCTCAGCAAAGCCTAGGAAAGGAGTAGAATTTGAGTTAAGGAATTACCACATTATAATATTCAAGTGCCCAGTTTGCAACAAAATAATCAAAAGTCATACAAAGAAATAGGAAAGTATATCTCAGTCATAAGATCAAAATAAATGAACAGAAACCATCGCTAATATGGCCCAGCCATTAGATTTACAGGACAAAATCTTCAAAACAACCGTCTTTACGTTTAAAGAGCTAAAGTAAAATATGGACAAATAATTGTAGAACATTGGTAAAATAATGCATGGACATAATGAGAACTTTAA